TAGTGAACTTTCTTGGGTTGGAATTGTAGGGCTAGATTTATGGATAGATATTGTTTAAATTGGATTTTGTTATAGGATATCTTGTTTTCTCCATCTGTGGTGATTGAAAGTTTTGTTTGGTATTGTAGTCTGAACTGTCATCTGTGGTCTCTTAGAGTCTGCAGTACATCTGTTCAGACCCTTCTGGCTTTTAGAGTCTCCATTGAGAATTCAGGTGTAATTCTAATAGGTATGCCTTTATATGTTACTTTGTCTTTTCCCCTTGCAACTTCTAATCTTTCTTGGTTCTGTACGTTTAGTGTTTTGATTATTATGTGGTATATGGACTTTATTTTCTGGTCCAATCTATTTGGTGTTCTTGTACCTTTATAGGCATGTTCTTCTTTAGGGTAGGAAATTTTTCTTCTATGATTTTTGTTAAAAATATTTTCTGGGACTTTGAGCTGGGATTTTTCTTATATTCCTATTATTCTTAGATTTGGTCTTTTCATAGTGTCCCAGATTTCCTGGGTGTTTTGTGTCAGGAAACTTTTTTTAGATGTAAAGTTTTCTTTGTTGTATCTATTTTTCTATCATATCTTCAATGCCTGAGATTCTTCCTTTCATCTCTTGCATTCTGTTGGTGATACTTGCTTCTGTAGTTCTTGTTTACTTACCTAGATTTTTCATTTCCAGAATTCCCTCAGTTTGTGTTTTCTTTATTGCTTCTATTTCTATATTCAGGTCTTGAACAGTTTTATTTGTTTCCTTCACCTGTTTGGTTTTTTCTTGGTTTTAAAGAATTTATTAATTTCCTCTAATTGTTTGTGTTCCTGGATTTAAGGAACATATTCATTTCCTCTTTAAGAACCTCTATCTTCTTCATAAAGTTGGTTTTAGGATTGTTTTCTTGTGCTTCAAGAATTTCTTGTGTTGGAATTTTTAGGTCTTGCTGTTGTAGAATAACTGGGCTCTGGTGGTGACATATTGCCCTGGCTGTTACTGGTTGTGTTCTTACACTGGTGTTTAGGCATCTGGGTTTGGAATGATTATAGGTCCAGGTGCTGATTTCTGAGTTTGTCTTTGTTGGATGGGTGCTTTGTTCCTTCATTTCTGTTTCCTCTTTGGTTTTCTGGTTTTTGTGACCTGGGTTTCTGGCTGCCTGTGTGACCTCTGGTCCAGCAGGGAGTCTCTGTTCAAGTTGGGGGCTGGACTTCGGGCTACTAGCATGGCCTTTGGTCCAGCACGGGATCAAAATTGGGGGTGGGACATGATGATGAAAGGAGGGGCATTGGGGATAATGTTGAGGTGGTCACCAAGAGAGTGGAGGAGGTCTGTGGGTAGACTGCTATGGCTGGTGTGGTCTATGGTTCAGCAGTGAGTGTCTGCCTGAGTTTGCCTATCTATTTTTCTGGCTGGCATAGCCTACACCAGTTCTTTTAACGGTGTGGCTTGTACCTGAGCAATGGGTATCCTGAAGGGGAGGGGGCATGGCAGCAGGGGTGGGTGGTGGAACTGGAAGGGGGTGGCAGCAGGTTGGATCTTTGGGATCCAAACTGAGTGTGGGAGGGTTCCAAGGGCAGGTGGGCCTCTTACCCATTCCTTTGTTTGCTGTGGCCTGCACCTGAGCAGCAGATATCTCTAGACTTTCTTCTTACAATATGTTTTGATTATGGTTTCCCCTTCTCCACCTCCTCCCAGATCCTCCCCTCCTCCTCTCTCACCTAAATCCACATTTTCTTTTTCTCCTTAGAAAACAAATGGGCATCTAAAGTAATAATAATAAAAGCACACAATTAGAAATCATTATATATATATATATATATATATATATATATATATGCAAAAGACCTGTAAGGTTGAAAAAAAAAAAGACCCCCCCAAAAGTACCCTTGATTTTGTCTTGTGTTGGCCATCTACTGCTGGGCATGGTGCCTGCCCCTAAGAGTGGTTTGTATCTCCAGTGAGACTCTATTGGACAAAATTAATTGTTCATTTGTAAGTGGTTGTCAATCGGAGATAGTGTCTGGGTTAGGGATGGGGGCTTGTGTTCACTTCCCTCTCAACACAAGACCCCCTCTGGCCCAGACCCGTGCAGGCCCTGTGCATGCTGCCACCGTCTGTGGGTCCTTACGTGTGTCAAGCCTGCTGCACTTAGAGGCCCTTGTTTTCTTGGTGTCATCAATCACTTGTGGCTCTTAAATCTTTCTGTGTCTTCTCCAGCAGGGTTCCTTGAGCCCCGAGGGAGGGATTTGGTGAAGACATCCCATTTAGAACTGCATATTCCAAGGTCTCTCTCTCTCTCTCTGCACCTGCACGTCATCCAGTTGTGGTTTTCCATGTTCATTCCCATCTGCTGCAGGAGAAAGCTTCTCTGATGATGACTGAGCAAGGCACTGGTCTATGAGTAGAGCAGAATGTTATTAGGTGCCTGTAGTTCTTTGTCAAGGGTTGAGGCTGCCTGAGCTTTGCCATTTCATGTTAGCATGTGTATTGGTGGTGTCCTTATTCAGGTCATGTTTAGGCAGCCATGTTGGCGGACTTCATGGGCATAGATTCTCTGAAGTTTTCAGGAGATACTGAGATTGACTTTTAAGAAGTCTGCCCTGAGGTTTAAACCCCAGAGTACATAAACACTCTACCATGAGCTGCACCTGTGTCCAGATAGTTAACTTTTAAGTCTCTATGTTTTGGGAGTTTCAGACTACTGCCCAAGTACAACAGAGCTATATTAATATGATGTCAAAATGCTCAACTCAGACCTCAGAAGAAGCTGCAGAAATTGCTCACATACCAATGGGTACAGAAATTCTGAAACATGATGTCCCTGGATGGTTTAATTTTCTCTGATAATGGAGTCTGAAGACTCTACTCACACGAGGTATGAATCTCATATGAACATTAAAAATAGTTGTCATTTGAATGACAGCGCATTCTACTTAATAGCCACCTATAGATTTATTTTTTGTTGAAACAATAAATCTCTTAAAAACTCATCTGTTGAATTGGGATCTATGAGCCTTTTAATAAGATTTTTGAAAGAGAGTGCAGAATTTATAGCTCCATATACATCGCCTGACATGGAAGTTAAGGTCAGTAGAGCCCTGTTCACACAGTCTATGGCTAGCTGAACTATGACTAGTTGAACCCTGAGGCAAAAAGACCCGTTTCAGTCTTATCTTGTAGCACTAGGCACCAAAAGTTCTTATTTTGAGAATAGTATTCTCTTAACTTAGGGTAGCAGAACAGAGTTCTGTTACTCAGAAAGTATTTCATAAGTCCAAGGCTGATTTGAGATGTAGGTCGGTCCTTGAGATGTTGACTGGCCATAGCCTGATCTCATTCAGTATTCTTCGTTTCAAGGGAAGACAGTGCATTTGCGCAAGTCAGAATCTGGGAGTCATCTCAGATGCTGTTCTTCGTTATCTGTAATGGGTGAATGCAGTCACTCTGTCAAGTCTTCCTGAAGGTCTCCTGTCACACACCCACACACCCACTCTCTTCATGGCCACCGCTCCAGTAGGCACCATCATCCTTTGTCTGAAGAAGCCACTTCACCCACAATAGAGTGATCTGTCACACATGCACCTATAAGACCAGTTTGTTTTCACACTCTTCTCAGGTTAACAGATATCATCCTGGTAAGGTCTCTCTTCAGCCTCACCTTGAAGCACTGCCTATTGACAGAGGTTTTCTGTCACACCAGGTCCTATATCCATTTAGTCCCAAATAAACACACAGAGGCCTACATTAATTATAAACTAATTGGTCTATTAGCCCAGACTTCTTATTCCAACTCTTATAACTCATATTAGCCCATAATTCTTATTGGCGTTAGCCATGTGGCTTGGTATCTTTTTCAGTGAGGCAGTCATATCTTGCTTCCTCTGTGTCTGGATGACGACTGCAGACCGAATCTTTGCTCTTCCCAGGATTCTCCTGTTCTCCTTGCCCTGCCTCTACTTCCTGCCTGGTCACCCCACCTATACTTCCTGCCTGGCTACTGGCTAATCAGCGTTTACTTAAAATAGTGATGGGGTACAGACCATTGTCCCTCAGCAACTGCCCTTGTTGGGGTCTGTGCTCCAGCCTCACAGCCGCTTCTTACCCTTGAGAAACCAGCCCAAACACTACTGTTTGCCAGTGACTTCCCTGATGCCCTGATCAGAGACGTTTCCTGTGCTCTCTGCTCCTCTAGACCTGCACTCCTTTACTTATGGTGTTCACATAGGTCTAGAACTAGACATTCAAGTCAGGCATGGTGGTTCATGTCAGACATACCGCCATATGGGAGGCTGAGACAGGAGGATCATTGCAAGTTTGAGGTTACCCTATATAGTAAAAACAAGTTGGATATGTGGTATTGTGGTGTGTGTATGTGTGTGTGTATGAGCATACATGCCAGAGGTTAACTTTGAGTGACAATCCACTGTGATGCAACTACACACATTGCTTTTTAAAATTTTATTTATTTATTTATTAAAAATTTCCACCTCCTCCCTTTCTCCCATTTCTCTCCCACTCCCCCCTTCCCCCTCCCTCTCCAGTCCTAAGAGCAGTCAGGGTTCCCTGCCCTGTGGGAAGTTCAAGGTCCTCCCACCTCCATTCAGGTCTAGGAAGGTGAGCATCCAAACAGACTAGGCTCCCACAAAGTCAGTCCATGCAGTACAATCCAAAACCCAGTGCCATTGTCCTTGGTTTCTCAGTCAACCCCCATTGTCAGCCACATTCAGAGAATCCGGTTTGATCACATGCACACATTGCTTTTGATGTGAGGGCTAGGAGTTGAGTTTAGGTCCTCATGATTTCCTGACAAGCACTGTTTTGACAGCTGTCTCCCCAGCTACCAGTGTTGCGGTATTTTGAATTATATGTGTCTCTCCTACAGAAAACAAGTGTCACAAGTTGCATTTATGCCCATATTCTCATCATCAAGTTCCAATACTGGTTCAGTGTTTGAAAAAGAATTAGTTGTCCAATATATTTGTTGAATGAATAAATGACTGTTTTCAATTGTTTAGGTAGAGGAAGAGGAACCAACTGGATACATTCGATATGAAAAATTTCTTCCAGTGATGACCAGAGTACTTCTGGAAAGAAAGTAAGGAAGCAAATACTTTTTTTTTTTAATTTTAAGGCACGATAACTAGAACTACATTAATTTCAAAACATTTGACTTGGCCAGCTGTGATGCTTTATGCTTGTAATTCCAGCACTTGAGGCTGAAACAGGAGAATTGCCACAAATTTGAGGCTAGCCTTAGTTGCATAGTTCCAGGCCATCCTGAGCTACAGAGTTTTGCCTCAAAACAAAACAAAACCACTTGACTTTTTATGTTTTATTTACCCAGTCTATATCTTAGGCTTGTTCCCTCTAGCCTTCCAGTGTGCTTCAGGCTGTGCTTACAAATACCAGCCAAGCTAGTATTTATTAATCTGAGCAAGGTACAATGAAAAGCAAAGGAGCTACAGAAAAGAACGACATTGTAGTTATATTTAATTGTGAATTACCATTTTAATTATTTTAAAATAAAAATTAACACTAGTTACTTTTCTAGTATAAGTACAGCATTAACATACCACAATTGATTGGTTATAGACATTTTGGTCCTAGATAAATTTATTTTCATATCAATGAGAAATGCTAATAGATAATAGCAAACATTCCTGTGGGATAGGTACTGTTGACATTCATATTCAGAAACCCAAAGAAATTTCATCCAGGGAAGTACCATTAGCCTAGTATATTAGTGGCTTTTATGTTGTTTAATGCAGTCATTTATCATGTAGAGACTGAGATAAATATGCTGGCATTAAGTTACTTTATTGTAAAAATTACAGATACAGGCCAATTGCTGAAGATGTCCTTCTTAGAGCTTTTGAGGTGGGTAAGCTCCAGATTATTCATGTACATGTGAAAAATTAATTCATCATATAGAATTTATTCAACAAAGAAAATCTACCTGCTTTCCCCAGGTTTTGGATCCAGCTAAACGAGGAATTCTGACTAAGGAAGAGCTGGTCAAGTACATGACCGAGGAAGGTCAGAGGGCTTTATTTCTTATAAGAGTAATTTGTACAAAGATTTAGGCTTAAAGATGTTTATTTAATTTTTTTTTTTAAAAAACTGTGTGTGTGTCTGTATTTGTGAGTGCAAAACCCATAGAGGTCAGAAGCATCGTGTCCCCTCGTGCTGGAGTTACAGAGACTTGCCAGCCACCTGATGTGGGTACCAGGAACTGAACTCAGGTTCTCTGCAAGAACAATACATGGTCTTAACCACTAAGCCATCGCTCCAGTGCCAATTAGTAAGTTTTAAACAATTATGCAAAAGTTATAGGATATGATACTTTAAAAGCAATTTTTGGTTAGGTACTTATTTATTATTCCTTTTATTTTGGTTTGGTTTGGTATTTGATTTTGTGTAATAGAAGTGTAACGATTACTTATATAAATTGTGTTTACTTTAGTCACTTAAAATATTTCCTGAATAAAAGACATACCACTTAAAGAAAATGAACTGTCAATCATAAGCCAGTGCCTTTTTAGACAGAAGATTTAAATTATAGTATATAAAAATTTCTTTTAAAAGACCTTCTTAGGGGGTAAAGTTGCAAACAATATAACCTCAATTGAATGTGAATTCACACAAAACTATATTTTTTATGATAATGAGACCTCTTCCCACAAATACCTATATATTTCCTTCAAATGTTCTCTTTTTATGTCAGTATATACATGTGTTTTCCCTGAAAGCAGCTTGGTGGACAAATCATTAACACTGTTGTCCCCCACACATACGTGCATGCATGCACGCATGCGTACACACACACATACACACACACACACACACACGCACACACACACTGTATTAAGGGAGGCGTTCTGCTTCTTCTGCTCAGCTCCCAGATGCACAGCCCAAGTCCTGAGTGATGCAGCAGTCCATACATCAGTTGAGCCCATGGGCATGGGTATCATTTTGAGCAAGGAGAACAGTGTTGGAGGCTCTAGGCACACCTGGTTTGGCCGTTTTGACTCAGTTCACCATTGGGGAAACAGGAAGTGAGAGAAGGAGTATGTGAAAGTCATAGCTGCCACCCAGGTTCAATTACCATGTTAAAATCATCTGGGTGGTTAACTTTAATAATTAACCAAGGATGAAAGGAAGTAAACCCTAAAGTATATTAGGCCATATGAAATTAATAAAAACTGCCAAAGAGGTTCAGCAACTCCTACTGTGTGCCCATTGTATGTTTATTGATAAAACACAGTGGGTGGATACTGGAATCTGATCCCTTTCTTGAGCATATTATAGTCTTACTGGGGAAGCAAAGCTAACTTGTGAAATAGATCAATGAGAGACATTAGAAACATAACTATCAGAAGATCAGTGCAAGCTGAAACTAGCCTGGAAAGCTGGACCTGGGAAGGATGACAGAGAAAATTACTTCCTTGAGAAGGTAGATTTATTTGTTTGCTTTTGTTTTGAGACAGGGTTGTGCTCTGTAACCCCAGTGAATCTGGTGTTTACTGTGTATCCCAGGCTGGCATTAAATTCAAGGCAGTTCTCCTGCTTCAGCCTCTCAGATGGGATTACAGATGGGAGCCAGCTTACTTTGCTTTAGAAGATAGGGTGAGCCATTGATGGCAGATATAATAAGATTGAATGAAGACAGATGAAGTTGGCTTGTGGGAAATGGATAAAGCAATAGGAATGAAATCTGGAAGATAGGCAGCCAGGCACATGGAATAAGGTGAGCTCAGCCAGCCTGCAAGTCTTGTTGACTAGTAACAGGGAAGGAATGGAGGGGATTGGTGCTAAACTGTGGAGGCCTGCTCTTGAGTTTGGGTCATCCCCTAGGCAGTGGAGAGTTGGACTAAGTCACCCAGTGCAGCAGTACTGTCGGAAAGTGATTCTGATGCTGGTCGGTTTGTAGGCAAGTAAGAAAGGTTCAGCCAGCAAGATAAGCTGGGCGGCTCCTTCAGCATCCCCAAGGTTCCCTAACACAGACCTGGCCTGGCACAGGGACTAGAGAAAGGGGATCAATGCAGTAGGACTCTATCATATAACCCTGGGCCACAGTGACCAACAAGAGGGCAGGGGACAAAAAATGCTGTCAGCTGAAACAGTGAAGTCAGGCACTGGCTGTGTTGTATGTAGGGACAACATAGCCATGTGGGTCACAGGAGTCTGATTTATGAAAATTTCGAGGAAGGCATACATACACAATTTTTGGACTTCCAGGGCAACTGTTGGATATCCTAATAGACAGAGCCTGCACCAGTTCTTTTCAGAAAAGAATAGAAATGGTTTCATTTATCTAGTCAACATTATTCAATTTCTTCCATGCTGTATGAACCATTCTATTTGATCTGTACATATAAGATGAACCATGATATCTTAATGTATCATTATTTTTGGATGTAATGTGTCCTTTCTCTAGATGCAGCTGCAGCTGCCTAATTCAGTAAAATGGTTGCTTAAGAAGTGATTTTTTTTTTTAAGAGACAAGGTTTCTCTATGTATCACTTATTGTTTGTCCTGGAACTCACTAAGTAGACCAGGCTGACATTGAACTCAGAGTTCTGCCTGCCTCTGCCTTCTGAGTGCTGGGATTAAAGGTGTGCACCACCAGGGATGGCTAATAAGTGATATTTTGATTCTCAAAATTCCAAATTGTTTTTAAGCATATTCAAGCTTTGTGACTATAAAGGTATTTCCACAATCTTTACATAGTATCCACAGAGCAGCCAACACATCTTTAAGTTTGCAAATGTACATTCTAAATGCCCAGGAGATTGTTAGATAGACACCGTAAACCTTGTGTGTTCAGGGTGTCCATTGCATCAGATGGTGTTTAGCATCAGGGAAGATCTCAAATCTTTTAAAAATAAATACATGTTGCTATGTGTCAGATGTTTGTGGAAGTGCTATTTGAATAATAACACATTTGATCCTTATGCCAAGCCCATGATAATATCATCATCTGTATTGTGTAGACTGGGAAGAGAGGTTAAGCAACCTGCCCAAGATCATAAAGCTAGTAAGAGGGCCAGAACTTGAATCAGTGAGGCTTGTCCTTCAAGCTTGTGCTTTTCAGTGTTGATCAATTTTCCTGCTATATTAAATCAAATGCTGTACAGCTCTTTCCATGTCCAGTGCGGTAGACCGACTACTGTGAGCAAGACTTAGTCTAAGCAGTGCAGTGGAGTGCTTTGACCAAGGTTGGTAATCTGGCCTTCTGGCCTTCAGACTCAGTCCCCACTCACTTGCAGGGCCAGCTGCATCGCTGATGTGCTGTAAATGGAGATGGTAGTTTATAGTGGTATATTATTTGTGTTTTAATAAATAAAGCCTACAGGCCAGGGTGTGGTGATGCACACCTTTAATCCCAGGACTCAGGAGACAGAGGCAGATGGATCTCTGTGAGTTCAAGGCCATCCTGGGCTACACAAGATTGAGTCTGTTTAAAAGAGAAACAGAGCTCACACAAAGGTGATCCCAGCACTTAGGATCACACACCTTTGATCCCAGCACTAGGGAGGTGGAGACAGGAGTGATATGGCTGGGTGGAGAGAAGGATATAAGATGATAGAAAGTGGGAGGAGGCAGCAACTCAGTGGAGTGTGAAATCTGAGGATTCATGGTCTGAAGATTTGGTAGAGGTAAAAGGTCTCTCTAGTGGCTTGACTGCTTTGCTTTTCTGATCTTTAGGTTGAACCCCAATATCTGTCTCTGGGTTTTTACTATTCGTGCTCCAGCAGTTCTCCCCTCTTGTGAGGCGTTGGTTAACTTAGTACATGTGAGACACTTGAATCAGTGCCGGTCTCACAGTGGTGGAAAGATACAAAATGTACAATTTGAAGAGAAGGAGCACCAGGAAGTAGAATGGAGTTTAATTTCTGTGTTCAAGGAAATAAACAGATTAAGAAATGGGATAGAGGTAACCTCAGGTAAGAGTGGTAACCTTAGGGCAAGATCCCATCCAGCGAAATTTCCAATTTATGAAAAGCAATTAAAGAAAAGGTTAAAGCTGGATGTGGTAGTACATGGCTTTAATCCCAGCACTGGGATGGCAGAGACTGGTGGATCACTGAGTTTGAGGCCAGCCTGATTTAAAATCAAGTTCCAGGACAGTCAAAGTTAATCAGTGAAGGAAGACAGAAAGTGGGTAAAGATGTAATTGAACAAGGGGGCCATGTTCCAGCTGCAGAAAGGAGCAGAACTTGGCAGCTTTGGCCATCTGGTTCTGGAATTAAAGATAGAAGGAAGGGGCTATGGACTTTGCCTCTGCAACTAAGGAAAACCACCGAGGCCAGGCATATGTCAGTGAGGTTCCTTAATGGAGGCCTAGAGAGACCATTGAGTGAAGCTATGAGCTCGAAACCTGGATTACCTTGGAGACCACAAGATGTTGGAGATGCCAGAGCCATGGGATACCTGCCAAGGAGAGCTGCTAACGGAGTAGAACCAGCCCCAGAGAGAGAGGTGTGTTGTAGTCAACAAAGATGAGAGGAGTTAGATGTCCCGCCCGAATCCGCGAATCCCTACTCTCCAATACGGGGGCATGCCTCCTGTATCGAACCGCGAGCTTGGAACAATGTCCTAGGAGTTAAGAACACACACAGAGACACAGAGAGACCTGGATCATATGCCCAAAAGGTAAATGTCAACTTTATTCAGCAAAATTCCAGGTTTAAATACTTAGGGGCCAAAGGACGAGAACACCCTCCTACCCGGAAGTGATATCCGGGTGTCGGGTGCCCTGCGCCAGTGACAGGAGGTGCTGGCAGATGCCACAGGCGCTGCTGAGAGAACCTTTGCTTGCAGGTGGAATTACCATGTCAATAGAGGACAAAGCTCTCTTATGCTAATTCCCCTAGCCAGTGGAGCGAACAGAAGAGATGACCAGAAGCTAGACTGTTTGGGTACACAGTCCTGCATAGCGCCTCAAGGATCCGGGAAAAGCCTGGGATCCAACAGTTAGAGGGCTGAAGAGAAATGTAACATCAAACACAGAGATGCAGCGTTTGGAGTGTGCCCAGCTGGTTTTTGGTCTTGCTTTGGTCTAGTATTTTCTCACTATGCCCCTTTCCCTACGTTTTGGAACAGTATTGTATATCCTGTGCCTTATATCTTGGAAGTATGTGGTCTGTTTTTTTTTTTTACTTTGATTTTATAAAGTATTACAATTAAGAGATTGCATGAATCTCAGAAGAGACTTTGAACCTTAAAATATTGTTGAGACTATGATAGACTATGGGGATTTTTGAAGTTGGACTAAATTCATTTTGCATTATGATATCATTACAAGCTTATGGGGGTCAGGGAGAGGAATGTGGAACTTTGAATGTAATTGGCCCTCATAAACACATAGGAAGTGGCACCATCAGGAGGTGTAGCTTGTTGGAGTAGATATGACCTTGTTGGAGAGAGCGTGTCACTGTGGAGTTGGGCTTTGAGGTCTCATATATGCTCAAGCCATACCCAGTCTCAGTTCTCAGTTCACTTCCTGTTGCCTATGGATCAAAGACATAGAATTCTCAGCTCCTTCTCCAGCATCATGTCTGCCTGCATGCTGCCATGTCCCATCATGATGCTAATGGACTGAACCTTTGCACTGTAAGCCAACCCTAGTTTAACGTTTACCTTTATAAGAGTTGCCATGGTCATGGTGTCTCTACACAGCGGTAGAAACCTTAACTAAGACAGTAACCCTCAAACCTTGGTTTGCATAAGACTTTTCCCTTAAAGGCCTAGCGTGATGACTTGGATGCCCTGTATTTTTCTTTAGTATTGGGACATAGTTCTGTCTTAAATAGTGAGCTTTTTCTACATTCTTCTGGAGTTTGTGTCCTACCCTGGTGAAGCCAGTTTCCAAGATGGCTCTCAGTTGTTACCTGTGTCCAACTAAAGCACACAGATTTTTTTCTCCAACTTTTGATTTCATCTGACATCAATACTATCCCAGATTCAAACAAGCGGGAGTTTTAGGATGATTGATGAGTGGTATTGATTAAGCCAGTGTGAGTGAGACAGACCTGATGTAGTAGTCAAGTGTCTGGTCTCTCTCTTCAGCAATAGCTACCATCTAGTCGCCTCTCCATAGTTTCACTAAACATAATAATTAGATTCTCTTATAAGACTTTAACTTCAAGCAAATACTTTTGCAATTTCAATAATTTTAAGTGAATAAACAACTTTGTTCATGGTGTTTTATGTACTCCTGTTCTGACTGAAATACATATTCTATAGGTCCCAGCAGGGTAGTAAGTGTGCAGCCTTGCAGGGTGTATGGAAGCATGCCTTTTGAACTTCTGGGTTCTCATATGTTGACTGTACAGCTCCAGTGGAGAAAAGACTAGACACAGCTGGGGGCCTGTGGGCTCCATGGCAAGGAAGCTGACTAGTGAAAAGAGGAAAAACTCCTGTCCATAAATGATGATCTTTCTTGTCTCTCCAGGTGAGCCTTTTTCTCAAGAGGAAATGGAAGAAATGATATCTGCTGCAATTGATCCTGAATCAAATTCCATCAATTACAGGGACTACATAACAATGATGGTGATAGATGAAAATTAAATGCTCCAAAGACTTAATTTCTTTTCTCTTCTTTTTAGATAACTGTAAACTAATTGAAAAGATAGTTTGAAAAATTGCTTGTTCTAATTAATTTCACATTTTGGCCTGTAATTTTATATTTAGTGCCTTGTGCCATAATTGCTTCAAGGTATTCTAGAGATGACCAATTTAAAACATAAATTTGTTTAATATGACCAGATTCATGGAATGACAAGTTGATTATTTAAAAGGAATTATAAAATATTTTAGCACTAAATATTTTATTGCTTATTTTCCACAATGAGGCCAATGTTACCTTGAAATTAATTAAACAAAAAATGAAGATTGATCCTAGCACCCTAAGGTTGGCATAGAAGGAAAACTCTGTGGAGCAGAATGGTCCCGGCCTGGACGTGGGCGGCACTGTGGTGCTGGCTGCTTTTTAGAGTCGCGTAAACACTTGAGCAAGCTGAGCGTGGAGGGTGAGCGACTGGAGTAACCACTAATAATTGATTTCTTGTGAATGCCAATTACAAATCTCATTTGGGAGTCTAATAACTTTGTGTAAAATTGAAATTTGCTCATCCAGCATGTTGCCATTTATGGAATAGCTAAAGGAGGTGAGATAATTGAGTCCAGAGAAAGGAAGACTGAATGAGAACTGATAATGGCAATTCCTCTTTAGAATCCTTAGCTATTCAGAATATCTGTCACGGGAGTATTGTCCTGAGGACTGAGTGTATTGAGCCTGTTGTTACCAGAATGTAGTACCTGAAATGAACTGACTCCATAAGAAAGAGGTTCATTTAGCTCACAGTTATAGATAGTCAAGGTCCAGGCAGCATTATGTACCCGATCTAGGGCCACACTTGCATGCATCTCGACAAAGTGCAGCTAGCCAGACAGGAGCACATGGTTGAGCAAGCAGGAGCAGAGAGGCTGGGAGGGGAGTCAGCTCTGCTCGTTTGCAATGGTCCTCTCACAGGAATTACTCTCTGGGCTGCAGAGATGGCTCAGCGGGTAAAAGCATTTGCTGAGTATCCTTAGATAGCATGCTGGAAGCTGGAGGTGGACGATGGAGAGATTCTAATTTATCAAGGTCACATTTTAGTGAGGGAGACTTGCAAGTCAATCAGCAGTCACAACAGGGGACTGAATATTGGACAAGAGAAGCAGGTGGCTAAGCCTGGTGCACTGAGGGTGCTTTCTAGAGGACAGACTAAGACAGGTAGCACATGACTTACAAACTTAATAGTCGTTCTCTGAGTAGTTACTTCAGGGCACAGAGCACACCAGCAGGAGGACTACAGATCAAAACCCCAGAGGTGTCATGAAACACAAGAATCTGGGAATTGAAAGTCTGGTTTACAGATATTTGGGACCTGATGAGAGATGACAGGGTTGGAGCAGGGAACTGTGTCCTAAGAGATAATGGGCTAATTGGGGTTCAGGTTTCGGTGTTTGAGTGTGGATTTTATTCTGCACATGCAGAGAAAGGAGTTGGAGTGGCAGAGAGCCTGAGAAACAACTTGAAGTGCGCTGAGGAGACCAGCTGGCAGGCTGTTCGCTTGGCACGATGATGGACTAGGGAAAGTCAAGCACAAAGCTGGGTTTCTGGCTTGAGCATTTTGTAAATGATGATACCAGCCATTTAGATCAGACACCCACAGAGCAGGCTGATGAGCCTGACTGTGGTCATCTCTGGCTTAAGGAGCTTGTAGGACATAGAAAATCAATAGATAAATAAAGGAACATCTGCTAGAGACATGGGCTTTGGAGTTGTCAGCACACAGTGACCGGAAGGAAAATACAATGATAAAGGAGAACTGGGGGAGATAGCAAGTTTGTGGGGAGCAGAAGAGGAGCCTGCAGAGCATGGGAAGCCATGTGAGGAGAGACTCTTGGGGAGGCAGGAACCAAGCCAGATGTGGGGAAATTTGAAGTAATTGATGATGGAGAAACATCCTTCAGTTTCAGCACCAACACATTCACTGGAAACCTCCCTTGGGGCAGACTTCCAAGTGGCAGGGTGGAGTCTGGTGGCTTCAGGAGTAAACAGATGTGAGAAAGAGCCTGGAGGACAGGCTACGGGGCAGTCTAGAGGAGAGAGAGGTGGAGGGAGGGAGTTTGGAAGATAGGAACTGTGCAAGTGTGCTCTGTGTTTGTATTTAAAGGGTTGAGACATGGCAGAGAGCACGGGGCACTCACAGGGGCCAGGATCCAAGGCTACAAAGGTCTTGACCTTGGTTATGGACATAAACTAATGTACATAGTCTCGTATAGTGGCCTCTAGCTTTACTGTCTTTTATTATCATTTAGATAGGGTCTTGCAGCCAGGTGATAATGGTGCAGGCCTTTAATCCCAGCACTTGGGAGGCAGAGGCAGTGGATCTCTGTGAGTTCAAGGCCAGCCTGGTCTGCAGAGTGAGTTTCAGAGCTACACAGAGAAAGCCTGTCTCGGAGGGAAAAGTGTCTTGCTGTGCTTACAACTTGTGACCTCTCTGCTTCTACTTCCTAGTGCTAGGATTCCAGCCCAAGCCTCTATGTCTGGCTGTGCTGTCTCTGTGAAGGAGAAGGAGGATGGTAGGGTGTAAGGGTAGAGGAGATGGTGCACATCTGCAGTTTATTGCGGGGAGTGAGAGAGCTGGGGAATAGTCTACTAAAGAGTTTTCAAGAAACCCTGGAGGATTTGTTTTAATAACCCAGGCCCAGCAGCAAACTGTGGAAAGTGTTGAGTCATAGGAAATGCAAGGACAGAAGGTCAAGATTGGTGAGGAGTCAGAGAGAAGAGTGACAGCGACGGTCTGTAGGCTCAGGTGGGAGGGGACGTTAGCTAGGAACAGGCTTGCACGGAGGATTGTAAGACTCCAAAGGGCACACACTGCAATGTGTGCTCAGATGGCATGCCGTTCCTGGGAACAATGAGCTCTGCTTGCCATTTTCCTTCATTCGATTGCTACAGGGCATGTCTTTATTCTATGCTATTACTAATTAATAATAGTAGACAGTGCTTATTCATCTCTCTCTGTGTGCCAGGCACTGTTCTAAGTGCTTTCCTTAAATATACTCATTTAACCCTCTTGATGACCCAATCAAATAGGTACCTGTATTCCAAGGGAGTGACAAAAAGGTTGCGTGACTGTACGGGACTGTATTGATCAGTCTTTATGGGTTACACTGTGATGTCAAACTTTCACAACAAAAGTCATTTTTTGTTCAGTTTTGGGCCAGCTGGGACTCTGCTCTGTGTGTCTTGTCTTCCTTCACTTCTTTCATAAGTGGAATGACTTTATGTCCCCATTTGCCCTGAGTGGACCCAGCTTGCATGTGCTTCATGAAAACAATTATGAAGATCACTCCTGGGGGCTGGGCAGATGGCTCGGTGGTAAGGGTGCTTGATGAACAAGCTTGAGGACCTGGCTTCAGGCCCCAGCACCCACATGAAAAGCTGGGCACTTCTGGGTCCTCTGGCTTCCTCGGAATCCACTGTCCTCCATGGCCCTGCCTGCCTGCCCATGGAGAGCTAGCTATGTTCTCACACTTCTTGGCAGGCAAAGCTGCATGAGTCTGCGAGTCTGGGGACCATACTCTGATCCTACTATGCCTGTGACTCACTTGGAGCTCTGCACCACACCCTGGAAGTCAGAGAGCCCAGCCTGGGCCTTCTCGTCTGCAGGCACCAATGTTCACATGCTGGGTGCCTACGAGAGACAAAAGGATTGTCTGAGAAGGCAGGCTAATCGGGAATGTGACCCATTGTCAAGGACAGGCCTATTTCCTGTGGACCAGAATATGTTTGGCTCTTTCTCTCCTTTCTGGCGTTCTCCTTTTCTTTCTTTTCCTAACTTCCACATAAGAAATCACCTCTTATACAGACATTTCTTTGGAGGTCCTCATCACACTACAGTGTAGCTAAAAAGCCTCCAGGTTATGCACACTTACACTCAGCTGTCTCTAGTGTTTCTAAAGGCACTGCTGCCAATCACTTGCTTCAGAAGTCCCCTGGGGGATGGGTGGTTTTTAGAAAGCAACTGTGTAGCCAAGAATGATCATATAGCTCCTCAGAAGAATCTCTGGAGGTGTAGTCCCCAAATCTCCCTCTGTAATGGATGTTGGATTTGGGGGAGAGGCTTAGGCATACTTAAATGCCCACCAAACCTCTGCCCTGGGAAGTATCACATGGTGCAGAGACAGGATTTGGGGTTAGACGTTGCCCTTATAGAGCGCGTAACTGGCACTGGTACTACTGAGCTTCTGCATCTTCGCGTGGGAAGTGGAAAGAATTGCTGTGTAGAACTGGTGTGATGATGGATAGCATAAAGCTATAATGGATGGAGGCAGATGTTATTTATAGAAAACCAGCTAGGCAGGCAGGCAGGGGGTGGGGTGGAGATGGAGACCTGCCGCCTGGATATGGACAGCCAGAGTGTGGGAAAGTAGGGAGCTGAAAAAAACTTCATTTGTTAGGTGAGGGTGGTGCTGATGGAGAGATACCAAAAGGTTTGCTGTCACTGCACCATGAATGGTCAGCTATGATGTTTATGTTAAGAACTTGAAAGTGGGGGGTTTAGGAGACTCACCCTTCTTCTCTCCCTCCCTTCCTTCCTTCCTCCTTCCCTCCCTCCCTCTTGTCTCTCATTCCCTCCGTTTTTGAAATGCTATCAATCACAGCACATTTATAGCAGCATGAGTCATTCACCTGATTTAGTGAGAAAAGACATGCATTTGAGACTGTGGTTGGGGTGTAGTGCTGCTGCCTGAGCGCTTTCCTAGCATACAAAGCCCTGGACTCCACCATTCCTAGCACTGCATAAATCAAGCATGGAGGAACATGCTTCCAATCCCAGTTCTTGGGGCCAGGGATGCTTTAAAGTCAGAAGTTCATGGACATCTTGGGCTATGTAGTGAGTTCTAGGCCAGCCTGAACCCAGTCTGATTCATGAGACCCTCCTAACTCAAGAGAAAAAAAAAGCACATAAAATCAGGACATTATATGATTGGTCCAAATATCAAATCTATCATGTTGCTTGTTAGCTTT